TTCACCATCTATTACCCAGCAGCCGGATCTCCCTTCCGCACGTTGCTCCCCGCAACCCTCGTTTCTAATTTCACACTCCCTTCTTCCCTCCAACCCGTATGGGATCAACCCCGTCCGCTTCAACCCGGCCCGACTCCGCGTCAACCGATCCGGCAACCCGTCGTATAATCCCGGTTCCAGTGACCGTCCTCCAACCGAGATGGCCCCGCTCTTCCCTGGCTGTGATTATGAGCACTGGCTAATTGTCATGGATAAGCCCGGGGGTGAAGGCGCGACCAAACAGCAGATGATCGATTGCTACATTAAAACCCTTGCTCAAGTCGTCGGAAGGTAATATATACTACAATTTTTTAACTATTATTTCACAATAAGTAATTGATAACTATTATTTGCAGTGAAGAAGAGGCAACGAAGAAAATTTACAATGTTTCTTGTGAGAGATACTTTGGTTTTGGTTGTGAAGTGGACGAGGAAACTGCGAATAGGATGGAAGGTTTGGAGTGTCTTATTTTAGACCCAATAACTGAATTGCATTTTGGGCTTGAACAGTGAAATATGTGTAAGTTTGATTTTTTATTTCATAGGTGCGCCTGGAGTTCTGTTTGTTCTTCCTGATTCATACGTTGATGCTGAATACAAGGACTATGGAGGTAAATTTAACGTTACTGAATTTTGACTGTTTGTCTTTGGACTCCCATCACTTCATCATACATTCATAGTTCTTCTATATCACTATATGGACAATTGTTTCATGTTATCGAAGCTAACACCAGAGCTTGAAGAAATGGGCCCATTTGACTCACACCTTTCTTAGATTGTTTCCCCTTTTTAATGATCGTTCTATATTTTGGGAAAATCTGTTTACTCCTCTATAGAACTTTGGGTTATAAGAGTTTATATGGCTGGATCAAAATGCTTCCGTACTATGGAAAGAGATTTCTTATGGCACACATCAAAATTCAAAGTAAAAAAAAGTATGCATTTTAGTTGTCATTTCTCATGTTATCCAGAATTTGATCGGTAGTCGATAGCGCAATATGGCGCGCGCGCCATGCACCATGTGGCGCGAAAAACCCTCTGCGCTATGAAAAGGGGCTGTGGCGAGGTGTATACACATGGCGTCGCCATTCCTGCGCCTTCACCATTTGGGCGCCATCGCCATGGCGTTTGCGTCGTCCAGTAGTCGTCTAAGCTCGATGTTGGCGAAGAAATCCTCGACTTATTCACAAGTCGAACCGCAGTGGCAGGCCCAGAACCAGATAAAATAGATTTAGGCCTTAATTAGGGCTAATTTAATTAAGGTTTCAGGCTTTACATTAAAAGCTAAGCCCAAACTAATCTACCTTACGGACCATTCGTTGCCCAAAGTTGCACGTAGGAAGCAAACAACTAAGACGAACTCACATAGTCGCCCTCCCTCAGTCCCTCGCGGAATCAGAGCAGCAGAGGAACTTGCAGACTTCCCAGTTCCCAGGTCCTTGATCTTTGGCTTCAGTTTTTATTTTATTTTAAATTGTAATTAATTAAGTTGTGTATTTATAATTTTGTTGTTGTAACCTTGTTTTTGTGTGTGCGTTTTAACTGTGATACTTCTATTTTAAAATAACCTTCTATGATATACTTCACATTTTGTTTTGATTAGTTTTTTAATTTTAATTCTCATTAATAAACCTTGTTTTCAATTATTAATTGTGAGTTTCTTTTGCAATTTTTTTCATTAATTGTGAGTTTCAATACTAAGTTATATACAATATAGAATTATATATATAGTTATAAATATATAGCTATATATATAAATATATAGTTATATATATATACATATACATATATATATATATACACACACATAAACCCTAACAAAAAAAACACTAACAAAACCTTACTATTTTAGCTCATAATACTAACAACAACCCTAACTACAAATAAATAAACACAACTAACATAAACCCTAACTACTATTTTTGCAAGATAGAAACTTTTTTTTGAATATTATGTTTTTTGGAAGTACTTTGAACTATTTTATCATGTTTTGGTGGTTGGGTAAACTTGGGTTGATGAATTGCAGTATCTATTATTCGTTTTGAAGTTTTTTTTTTGTCACGTGGCGACGCCATATTTGCGCCATCGCCATCGCCATGGAAAATGGCCTGTGCGCCATGGGTTGCGCCATGCGCCATGACAACTATGCGTATTAATTCCTATTCATCAAGTAAAAAGGACCAAGTTGGATCTTGTGTATATTTATTGAATGATAGTAATGAATGTTGCCAAAGACTCAGTATTATTTCCAGGCCAAATAATAGTGAGCCAAAGACTCACTATTATTTGGCTTGGAAATATGATGGAATAAAGCAAAATGACTCACTAAATTGTTTGTGCTTCTTTGTTATGAAGCACAGGGGTAAGGCTGCGTACATCCGACCCCCCTACTCCACCGTAGGTGGGAGCCTTTGCGGCACTGGGGTAATGATGATGATGTCGAGTAATGAATGTTGCCATTTCATATTGATACAATACAATCAATAATGAAGTTAAAAATCATTATCTTCTTGATTTCTTGATCCAGCCCACCTCCAAAAAAAACTTGGCAGAACCTGTTCTCTGCAAGCATATCCAATATCCATTCCAAGTTTTCTGACAGTGCATTGTTCACCCTTGTTCACCCTGTGTTACTTATTCTTGTGTGATTTTGCTTTAATTTATATATCAACCACAAGAGTCTTCTTTGATGAAATTAAGTTAACCTTTTATCTAAGGATGTTTTTACTTGGACTGGAATTTTATAACTGTCCAAATCTGGTCTGATTTGGTTGGTCAAGTAAAAATGTCCTTATTTGCCTGGAAACTCATATATGCAAGTCACATGTGAAATAAAATCACTTGAATCAACAAAATATTAAAAGTTGTCCCATTTTTTAATGAGTAACATTAATGATATGTTTCATGTCTTCGCAGCTGAATTGTTTGTTAATGGGGAGATAGTGCAACGATCACCTGAACGACAGAGGCGAGTAGAGCCCGTTCCTCAGCGGGATAGAGTACGGCCCAACACGCGATACAACAGACGTAGAGAGAACATGAGATGAAGTCTTGAATATATAATGTCTAGAAATGGCCCTCTATTCTGTGTTTTGAACTATTTTATCATTCAGTTTTTGGACTCCGCCAATTGTTATTTTGTCTTGGGTTATGTAATTTGTTTAGGTATAATGGTGTGACAGATTACATTGCCCCTAATTGCTCTTTATTGATCAGAAAAGTGTTTGCTTTGTTTTTATTTATAGGAATCATAGTATCTTTACCATCTAGAAGCTGAAAAGGGGCTGAATCAACTCTATTAATATAATCATATTCATGTCTTACCTTACTGTTCTAAACAGATTCTTGTTTAGTTTACCAGAACAACAGAATGAGCTAGGTTTTTTTTTGAAAGAGAGCTTGGTTGCTTATGTCATATATATTATGAACTAATCTTGATGTTGTGCATGCGGAGCTTGTTACATAATGGATATTTTCTCTGAAATAAATTTGTACCTATAGGCTAGGCTATAGGCCCCGGTTTTGTTTTGTTTTTTCTCGAGTATTCTCAATGACGGTTGGAAATTTGGTAGGAGTTCAATTGGAAGACTCAAAGAACGATATTAATCATCAGTGCTAATAAATTAGGAGCAAAATATGGCACTATTGCATCGAATTAATCTTACTTTTTTTAAACTAGAAAATTGATCTGTCGAATTGAATCGAAACTGAATTGGACTCTGTGGTAGTAGTGGACTCGGGCCGGTTCGGGCCCTGTTCGGGCCTGGGCCCGGCCGGGCCTCGGTTCAAGAAGGGGAGGCCCGGAACCGGCCCGGGTAAACCCCGGGTCCGGGCCGGGCCTCGGGTATTTTTTTTTTGGGGGGCTTTTCCTAGTTAACCCCCACCCCTCCCCCTCACCCCAAACCAACCCTAACCACCTCAAATGGCCCAAAATAACCAGCCCAACCCAAAAACTCAAAAAAAATTCAAAAAAAAAATTAAAATTGGCCCGGCCCGGTTCACCTTTTGAAGGGTCCGAGCCCGAACCGAGAATCCACCGGGCCGGGTGGCCCGAACCGCCCAACGAACCGGTTCCCGGGCCGGTCCGGGCCCGCACAGTGGCGGGCCGGTCCGGTTGGCCCGGCCCGAGTCCACCCCTACTCTGTGGATCCAAAATGAATTGGACTAGAGTTTTGCTAGAGGTACTCCAAAATGTACCCCATTTTACTTTACCTCTAATGTGTGGTCATAAATGAGTCAATTCATTTAAGTGGTGTTCCACTTAAATGAATTGACCCATTTATGACCACACATTAGGTGTGAGGGTAAAAATGAGGTACATTTTGGACTATGGCCTAAATGTGATTGGACTATGACCACCCTCCGTGACATATGCAGTCGCTAGTTAGTGCATCTTTGTAGTTTGGGCTAAATGGTCAAATAAGTCTCTGTACCGGTCGTATAAGATCAATCCAGACCCTGAACTAAAAAAAGGTTCAATTCGCACAGCGAACCGACAAAAAACGTTTCAAATTTCATTTTTTATGGGTAAACAACCGACCATTTTTTATTGTTTCTGTTTTTTATTTTCAATTTATTGCAATTTTGACACTTTTTAATAGTTTAAGGGTGCAAATTGAACCTTTTTTACCGGTTGTTTACCTATTAAAAATGAAATTTGAACCCTTTTTTACCAGTTTGAGGTGCGAATAGGACCTTTGTTTAGTTCAAAGATTGAATTGAGCTTACACGATCGGTACAGAGCCTATTTGACCCTTTAGCCTTGTAGTTTGTACATGTAAGGATGCATTATTAAGCATTTGGACATTCATTTTTCACCTTAATCATCTACTCACTAAACATTTTTTACGAACATTCAACGCAATTTTAAAACTTTAAGTTGATCCTATCTTATACTGGCGTTGAAATAAAGATTCATTTACTGAATGTGATATCATATAAAATGGTCATACCAGTTCAGGTAACAAGATTCTTCCCTCTATTATAGACTCGAGTAAACAAACATAAACATCTTTTGTACAATGTAAAGAATTTAACAATTATAAGTTCTTTACATTAGGTTTTGAGTATCCACCGCTACATGAGCTTCTTTCAAAAAAGAGTACAAGAAGCCTTGTATGTTCATTTTCAATCCCCATTTATAAGTGAAAAATGACTATTTTTATTATGAAAGGAGGAGAGTCGGCGCCAGTCAAATAAGAGTACAAGATATTTTATGTCTTCCTTCTGCTTCACCCTTTGCCTTGTAGTGTAGTGCTTGCGAGGAGAACAAGTAGGTTTTGACTCATTAGGCACACATAGATGTTACCAAACACTTCTCACTTTAAGAATATTCAGCATAGCCATTCCAGCCAAATAAATGCGCTTAACCTGACAGGAAATGAAATGTACCGCTCTTCTTGCTAAGGGGAAACAAAATTTTCTTGTGAGACTTCACGCTTCGGCCTTCACACCATCAGAACCTCTAGTTGTGGCATTGTGTTTATTGTTTTTCTTCAACTTTGCTTTCTTAGCAGCTTTTCTCCGACGTTTCTTCTCATTGGCATCAACCCAGGTATAATCAGATGGGATTCGGAACGGGTCAATATCGTTTTGAGAACTCCAGCTTTCACTGACACTGATAGATTGCTCATCCCGACTCCCCCCTCTAAGCCACGAAGCCCATGAGACGGTGGGTCCCTCCGAGTCTGCGGGTTCGGAATCTTGGAAGTGTGTGGGGCTTGAGGGCGGGGTTGAGAACTCTTCCAATGGCTGAAGTTCCTCAAACTTTGTAAAGGTAACAACTACACGAATTGTGGGTACAATTGGGACAGCAATCTGGGATAGATGCAGCATTACTTTAAGATTGAAGCAAAAGCAAAGTACAATAAAAATAAAAAAGAGGATCTATAATCACCTTGACGGGGAATGTGCCAGGTGGCAGCTTTGTGGTTAAGAGCTCCCTCAATCTTCTTACAGCTTTAACCTTGTTGGCTAATATATCAAGTAAGGGAAGTAACTCTTCTGTTCTCAATGGGAAATCTGGCGTCAACCACAAAACAGGCCTCAACCCCTTTTTATACTCGCTCTCATTCTTACACTCACTTGATGCCAGCCCTTTCTTCTTCTTCTTCTTGCTGCTTTTATCATCATGTTTGCTCTTCTTGTTATCACTACTTATCCTTTGTTTTTCATCTTCAAGACCACAAGTGTACTTTGAGCTTTTCTTCTTACTATTACTATTCCAACCAAACCAACTCTTCTTTTCTTTATTATTACAGTCCTTGTTACCTTCCTCCTCATACTCAAGAGGATCATCTGAATTCTCCCCACGAAGTGCATCTTCTAACTGCACTCTTTCCTCCGCCGTCAACACATCACACTCAATGCCATCTTCACCATCATCCACTGTAAAAAGCTCTTCGTCCGTCACAGCACCTGGGACTCGCCGTGACTTCACACTAACCATAACATGGAGCATATCATAAACCCTAGCCTTCCAAACGCCGACCATCTCCGTTTTCTCATGTCGTCTCATCCAATTCATATGCGGGACGAGTTCAGCCTGAGTCACGTCTATGCCCGGCCTGTACATATTTGTCTTACACATCAACGCCACTTCACGGCAAACTTCCGCTTCAGTTGGTTCCACTCCCGCCCCTTCCAAGGCATTTGTGATCTCTTTCTCGGGATGGGACAGTACTATCAATGATCCTGGGGGCAAACTGGTAATAATCTTCCCATTCTCATCATTTGAACAAAGATTCCCATCATACCCCTTCCCTAGGAAGAGAAAGGTTTGGTCAGAGCGTTGGATGTGGAAGCTGTCGAATCCGGCGAGCGTCATGTCCGCACGGAGATTAGCTCCCCGTTTCCATATCCGGTAGGTGTCTGAGGGTGCAATTTTTCCAATGAAGGGCAAAACGGAGCTCTCGAAATGGAAAGTTATCTCCATGTAGAAATCGCGGATCCTGGAAGCAGAAGCTACTATCCTAGGGAGGCGACGGCACCACTTGGCCCAAGCAAGAGGCTGGTAATGCCTTGCGATGATCTTAGCAATGTTCTCCTCCCGTAAACAAACGGCCTCCTGTAGGGGACTCCATCCCTTCTCGTTCTGAAGACTCCAATCGGCGCCCGCTGACATCAGAATCTCGGCTGAAATCGGGTCCCGCATCTTCACCGCGAGGTGTAAGGGAGTCTCGCGGCCGTGGACATCCCGCCGGTCGATTACGGCGGAGACTATGTCGGCGTCGTTTTCAGCGGCCAGAGACTCTGCTTCATTAATCACCGCCCCGGCCTTGGCAAGCCGAGGCAAGGATGACACGATCTCCTCCAAAGCAGCATGATCTCGTTTCGCCACCGCTAAATGAGCAGGGCTATGCACATAATTGGAAAATTGCTCCATTTTGACAACCTAGTTTCACATCCTTTCTCCAAAAACCCAGTTCGAAACCGAAACTCCGATCAAAGGAATTACGTATTTACATTTTTCTTATGGAACATTTCTATGAATCAATTACAAAATGAACGGCACAAACAAATTCCAGTTATACCCGACCTCCACTCCAAATCTGACCAGACAAAAACAAGGGGGAAAAGGGACAAAAAACGAAATACTAAGATAACCGAAAGGGGGGAAACGAAGGCCTAGAAGGCGTAACATTACCATTTACCAGTATCATATAAATGCATGTAAACGAACATGGATACAGGATTCCCATGCAGAGACAGAAGAGAGGCGTGGACCTGAAGAAATTGAGGCGGTTGGAGGGAAAATGGTTCTAGAGCGAGGAGAAGGATGTTTTTGGTCATTCTCGGGAAATAATTAAAGTTCCCAAAAATTTGGGATGTTTATCTAATACCCTTTAAAAGTTTTGAGCATTTTTATTATTTCCTAAAGGCCTACTCCTCTATAGGATCATTCTCTGAAGATAAGGAGTATTATTATGTCTTCCATGGAAATGGAAGTAATTGCGTTTCAACAAAGGAAGGTTTGGAATCGATCAATTTCGGCTTTTAAAAATCTGCTTTTAGAGGTAATTTTGGACACCCGGAAATACTTCTCCAATTTCATAACACTCTAATATAGTAATATCTCCTTCTACTTTATGAAATAGCATAAACAATTTTTAGAAGTGGATCCAAACACTCCTTAAGATAGATAGTTACTGTTTCCATATTAATTATGAGTAGGCAGTAAAGGTGTCCTTCCCTTCCGACAAAATGTACTAGTAACTTTTTGAACTTTTTTGTAACACTAAGAGAGTGTTTACAATAGATTAAAAAATGCTTCTCAACTTTTGACTTAAAAAAGTTAATAACACTGTTTTCAAATGACAACTTCTAATTAAATAAAACATTAAAAAGTGAAAAACTAAAATCTGCTTTTTACATTTCCTATTATACAAAAAATACATATTAAGCATTTTTCCAAAATCGCTTTAAAAGTGCTTTTTTAAAGCACAAACTATTGCAAACATTTCCTAAAATTGCTTGGTCCAAATTGATTGAATGTGTTTAATTTTATAAAATTCTAATCAAAGTGCATGGGTATCCCAAATTTAGATTTCCATGGATTTTTTAAATTCTATGGATTTTAATGGAAATTCATTGATTCTATATGATTTTATTGGAATTGTATAGAATTATATATCATGAAATTGTATGGATTCTAAGGGATTTCATAGTAATAGAATTCGTCGTTTTCTATCGTGCACTTGAAATAACGGGATTTCAATGGATGCTTGTAACCTAGGCTAGACTCGTTTCTTTCGTGCTTTAAACGAGAGGCTGAGCAGCTTCTTCTGGAGATACTTTTCTGGCTATATTGGCTGGAGAATGTAAATGGTTACAGATTTACATTCTCCAGCTTTTATCAAAACGGTTGTACAAGAAGGGAGGCAAAAAGCTACTGTGCAAGAAGAATACGGGCTATGTTTGAAAAGTGAAAAACTAAAATCTGCTTTTAACATTTCCTATTATACAAAAAACACATATTAAGCATTTTTCCAAAATCGCTTTAAAAGTGCTTTTTTAAAGCACAAACTATTGCTTCTTCTGGAGAATGTAAATCTGTAATCCATAGAATTTAAAAAGTCCCTGACTTCTAGCTTTTGTACCATTTAAAAAGTCTTTAAAAGCTTTTAGTTGTTTGTTTGGGATGCCAATTTTTAAGAGCTTTTATAAAAATAAAAGATCTTTTTTGAAATCTACAATGAGTAGCATCTCAGATAAGTCAGTAGCTTCTAGTATTAATTAGTCTTAACAGCTTGTATACCAAACAGAGCTAAATCAAATAGTCAGGTTTTTACCAAACAGGTACTGCCTTTTCTTTTTAAGATCTTTTCAGTCACTAAAAGGTAACAGTTACTAAAAAGCTCATAAAAGTATTTTTTCAAGCTAATTGCGCCAAACATACCTGTAGTACTCTAGAAGATAAAGAAGAGGGAGTGTTTTGTGTGTATAATTCCATCAAAGTCATTTAAAATCCATTGCAATACATAAATACATAATAAATGAAATCCGTGGAATGTTTGAGAACACCTATATTTGATAGATTCCATTAAAATCCATGTTGAGAACACCTAAATTCTGAGTGATGGGATTTTAAATTCTCTAAGAATCGCTAACAATCCATATTGAGGACACCCCCTAAGTGTTTTATTCTGTTTATTTATGAAAAAAATATTTTTAAATTATAAGTCCGTTTGGTGATCCCTTTTTTCGGCTTATCAGACTTATCAGACAGCTTTTTCACCAAACACGTAATTTTTGATTTCGCGCGCTGAATTTTGTAATAAGCAGAAAAAGTAAGGTTGGAGTTACTTTTCTGGCTATATTGGCTGAAGTTACCGTACATGATCATTTTAGCTATTTTTCATATAATTTTTTATTTAATTTATTAATAACAAATATTCTAAATATAATTTTTTTCATGAATCAGCATAATAAGCCAATACAGCCATTTCAGCCACAATCTCATAAATTTCAGCAGAATCAGCCAATTCAGCCACTTTTAGTGTTACCAAACGGGCTCTATGTTTTATTAATAAAATAAAGAAAAAATTATATAAAAATAGCTAAAATGATGTTCTACGATAACTTCAGCCAATCCAACAAAAAGTAATTGGGAAATTACCCAAAATAGGAGCAAATGACACTTGGGATTCCAAAAATAGGACTAATATGTTTTTCTTCCCGAAATAGGAGTTATTACTATCATGTATGAAAAAAACTGTCATGGTTGAAAAATACTGTCATTAATTATAATAAATACTATTATGTTAAATGCACTGTACTGCAACTATTTGGCAGTCACGGCTATAAGATGACAGTAAATATTGTCATGTTAGTCATATTTCAAGAATAAAAACAAAGTACCCTGTTTTGGAATTTCAAACTTCATTTACTTCTATTTTGGGAAATCTCCCAAAGTAATTTTAACCTTATTCTGATAATTACACAACTTAGTGCATAAAATTAAAAATTACCTATGTAATAGAGAAAATTGATTGAAAAGACTGGCAAGTCAAAAAACAAAATCATCAAACAGGCTCTTCTAATGTTACCCTCATTTTTTAAAAATGTTGCTATTCCTATATTTTTGATCATGTAGTGGTTCTTACATGCTCCATGAGACCATGATCAAACATTGAGACAATCGGTCTAAAGTAGCATTGGTGGCTACAAGCCACGCTAACCCCTCCCCAAAATTTAAAAAATTCTTTAAATACGAATTTTATCAAATGAAAAATAGACTCAATATACCAGACAATTAAAAGCTATCAATCTAAAACCTAAAATACCATGAATTTTATTTTATTTTATTTTTTTAAAAATAAATATTATTTAATCTTATTAAACTAATAAACTTTTGTGAAGAAAACTCTTCAAAAACTAGCAATGGATTTAATAAAATAAATAAATGAATCAAAATCTATGATATTTTAATTCTTTGATTGATATTATCGATCATTTGAGTTCTATATCAACACAATTTATTGAAATCCTGAATTGATAAAATTCTTAATCCTATTATTCAAGAGATTATTTGACAGCAATGATACCCATCACCGTTATGTTAGTAATAAGATTAAAATGAATTGATGGAGATGCTTGCTTCGAGTCTAAATAGTTTTTGTCATACTAGATTGTATCACTGAGAAGTGAGAACTAATAATAAATTTAGTTTAGTACTCCCCGTCCTCCAATTAAGTTCTCAATTTGACTTTTACGGTGATACGGTCTTCTAGGTGGACGTGTAATCCTAAATATCTAAAAATCTATACTTATAAAATCTGATGTAAATTAATATTTGAAATATATATATATATATATATATATATATATATATATATTCCAATGAAGTGTATAAATTTAATTTTGGACGATAAAGTAATGTAAATTAAGAATAATTAATGATCAAAATTTGTAAATTTTGACTCAAAAAGTACAACTGAGAACTTAATTGTGCGACTAATCCGACTCGGTGCACTAAATAAATGGAATTGAAAAAAAATGATGAACGTTAAAGAGTAACACTCATGATTTTGTGAACAGCTCATATGATTTTAGGGTAACCTACAATTCTAGATATTTTATGCAACATAACAACCCCACCGTTGCAAATGTGTGTGCAAGTATCCATATTCAATAGGGATGGACTTGGGCCGGGTCAACCGGCCCGTAACCGGCCCGATACCCGGGTCCGTCACCGGTTCGGGCCACCCAGCCCGGTACTATTTCGGGGCGGGCTCCGGGTCTCCAAAATAGTGAATCGGCCCGGTTCGGGCAATTTTTTTTTGGTTTTTCAAAATATTTGCGAGGTAAATGGATTGGGCTGGGTGTTTTGGAGGGTTTGGGGTATGTGGAGGGTAGGAAATAATTAGAAAATAAAAAAAGGGTACCTGGCCCGGCCCGGTACCCGCCGGGTGATTCGGTCCGACCCGGGCCCGGTAGCTACCCGGGCCGGTTCCGGGCCTCAAGATTCCAAAAAAAAAAAGCCCGGTCGAGCCCGGCCCGAGTTCATGCCTAATATTCAACTATGTCCATCCCGATCAACTCATCAAGTCATGAACATTGTGTTACCCTTTCATTGAATATCTTGATGATTTGTTGTCACTTTCATGGTTATATTTGTGTTCGGTAATCGGTATAGGGGTGGACTCAAGGCAATCCGATCCCGGTTCCTAGCCGAGACCGCCCGGTCCTAGCATTTATCTGATATAGCCCGCTATCTTCAAGGTCAAGGCCGATTTCTTTGTTTTTACCCGGTTTCAAGCTATAAAAAAAGAAAAAATGGCCAATCTCAGGCCGAAAGCAGGATCAGAACCACCCGTTTTGCTACACAAATAGGTGAACCGGAACCAGACACCACTCTTTAGCGGACAGAGCCAGTCCCAGGCCGGAAATCAAAAATTTCAAACACAATACAATCCCAAACATTGCTGGACCTAATTCCAAACAGGGCCAGACCGCTGGATTGGGTCCACCCCTAGTTCAGCATAGTGTACTTCAGTACTTGTGATCGATCAATTCATTAATGTCATGATTGTGCTTTGACTTTAAATAACTTTTGTCTCAAACTTAAAGCTTATTTCTTGTCAATTAGGATCCGACAGGTGTTAGAAGGCTCTCACGGATGAAATGTCATCCTTTTTTTCAATCACTCGATCTCTTTGTTACATGATTACACATATCGAATATTATGTCACTAATTCACAATCGAGACGAAGTTTACCATTTAACTTAATAAGAGGAATAAAAGCACCTCTAAATTAGTGTTGGATTCAGTTCGGGCCACCCGGCCCGTGACCCGGCCCGGCCCGGTACTGTGCGGGCCCGGGACCGGCCCGGTCGGGCGGTCCGGGACCGGGTG